ATTCATTATAAAACTTCTTCTTCAGTATTATCTTTCTTGACCGCACTAATTCTTGCTATGGAACGGCCATACTATTTGAAAAAACTGTTAAAAAAACATAGTAGATATCATTGTTTCAATGACCATACATACACATAATGTAATTAACCACTCTGATCTTTATTTTTTCCTTACCCAGCGTAGCGTAACGATATGAATGTTCAGATCTGGCGCACGATCACACATCAATAGAAGATACATCATAAAATCCTCAAAAAAGCAAAAGAAAAGAAAAGAAAAGGGAGGTGGAATTGTCACAATGAAAAGTGTTACAGAGGTGGAGGATACGCACTTAAAATTGAAGAAGCAAGTAAAGTTGATTTGGAACTCTGTCAGATTATGAAAGTTGATTTATTTAGTTATTTAAATAGGAAAGAAATGATTTACCTGAATTTGTTGGATGCCAAATTAAAAAAGAATACATTTTTCTAAAAACCAACATTATTTTATCATTTAATGGAGAATGTATGACATAGAGATCTTGAAGGTGGAGGTTAAGTAAAAGGTGCATCTGGTTTTCTGCGTGAAGACTAGTAAATTTCGATTGACTATATTTAGTTTTTTTTTTCTTTTTTTTTTATATTTTTAAGGCAGCGATTTCTCCGGGTGAGAAAGTTCGATTCCATATCTCCAAGAGAGTTTATACAAAATTGGTAGTAAGAAAAATATTATTGTCTAGTCATATATACCAATGGGGAAACTACATCCAAAAAATAAAATGAGACAAAATTCCAAAAAATGATTTCATTCTATTTTCCTTCTATTCGCCAACATAGTAATCTTTAATTCTCAGGGACGGGCGTTCTTCATATGTCTGAGAGGTCATAGCATGCCTAAATGCTGTGTGTTTAGTTGCTGATAACTTTTATTTGATAAGTGTATGATTACCAGTGCAAAACGATTGTGCTTTTATTGACTAATATGCATTGCCACTTGTGCCAAAAGGATGTGTACCCTTTTCGGAACCTAGGAGGTGTTTTTTTTCTCGCGGATAGGGTGGGTCGGGTCATTTTGCTTTGGGGAGGCAAGAGGGGTGAGAGATTGAGAAATGGGAAGTCTGCCAGTAAATATGTCCTTTGGTTGGTAGTACTTCTTGGTTTCGGTTCAATTACAAGGAGCTAGTATGATTTGAATAGGTTTTGTTTCCAAGTGGGCCAGTGCGTTGGTGTAGAGGATAACTGTCTTCTACAACATGTTTTCTGTTAATATTGTTCTCAGCTGGAAGCGTCTGTCTTCTATATTAATGTGGTGCGCCTTGGTATCGGAGATTATCGCGTAGAACAGCTGTGGCGTAAAGCTATACTGTTGAGTAACTGGCCTGAAACCCTGAATTTAGTTATTGCTCTGGTATAGGTGATACATTTAAGAGATTTAAAAAGTTAAAGATATAATAAACAACCTTCACAGGATCGAAGAGAAGCTTTTTATTTTTCGATTTCATGCAACAATTAACTAACACATTTACTGAACAACCAATATGACAGACTCACATTCTGCCTAAAATCCTACTAGACTAGGCTCCAGACTGCTAAAGCGCGTAGATATGCATTTGTGTTGTAGTTACTTAGATGTAGTAGTATTAGGAATATTTTCTCCGGAGGAGACAAGCTGTCATGATAAACAATCGAGCCAAAACTTTTTGGTATTTCCATATACTTGCACAATTATACCACTGAATATGAAAGTTCTTTTAGCTCTTCAGGATCATAGCAATCCACTTTTGCCACATTCATCACCTGTTATATAGTTAGAGTGGTATTAACATGGTGAGAAAGGAAGTCATATTTATGTCAATTGAATTCTATAGGTTTTCCTGTCTTCAATATATGTGGCCCAATAGCTAGTGCAACATGTCATATTGATAATTTATTTTTTGTCAGCAGATGGCAAGTGTAGGGAAGGGGTGCGAGATCCGCCGGAACTGTCGTGAACCTCTCAACACACGCCAATTCAAATTGTCCTATATCGCATCTTGTGAAGATTTCCTTATGTATATGAATTTTCCTGTATAATTAATGAATTATTTTTGAACCTTAATCCCGAAATCACAGGCCTGAAGACACTGTCTTCTGAATGTGATGATTCAATATGGAACTCCAATAGCAAAATGTAGATGATGCTACCGAGAACGTGCTACATCTCTCATCTGAAAACAAAACATACATTGAAAGGGTATCGATCACACAAGGCTCTGATCATCTCTCTATAAAATTCATGCAAATACAGTCGTCGCGATTTTTAATGAACGTAAGAGCGATTTTGAGATCACGCCTGGACTTCACCCGATAGGGGTTAGAAGGATGGTTGAGAAAGATGACCGGGGAAAAATAATATGCAACCACTGTCGTGTTCCAAATAACCCACAGTGTTATGAGCACAGGCACGCCCTATCCAGGACTACCTGTAATTAATCACATTTAGCTTGACTAATTCCACTTCGAGCGTGAAGAGGTGGTCAGAAGATAGGCACATGAGGAGTCGTTGAAAGTCCTACTCGAGCTTAATTGCTGCAACGAGATTTCCTTCAGCTAATTATACTGCATTTGATGTGTAATTTCTTTTCTCCGCGGCTGGGGAACTAGATGTCTTGAAGATTGTTACGAGATAGGAACAGATCTGTGATAGTATAATCGACAAACCTCTGTGAAACAATGATGTTTAATCAACGTGCAGTTAATGCCAGATGGCAAAGGAAATTTTACCACTTCTGTGATTAACTGTTTGGTATCATGCCCAACCTGGAAATGAGGCTTGATGCACATTAAGGACCGTCTATTAATAACAGCTCACTAATATATTGCTAGCCATTTAGCAACGTCTAACGAGAAGCATCCATGGCACAATTCATAGTATTTAAAGCACCGGAAACGAGACTTTTTTCAATTCTCTTAACTCGCATTGGCATCAATGGGCGCTGTGCTGTGGACTATCAGCTAACTCATTTTGTTAAAAGTACATGGATAACTTACAAAACTCTAATAGTGGCGTGGTAAAAATACCAAATTACATTGTATTGATCCATATACATTCTTGTATGTGTGTTACCATATCGTCAATTGTCGAATAATGAGTACCACCAAGCTCGTTGGTTTCATAAACAGAGTTTGTGTGTATCAATTCATTCTTCCTCCCAAGGTCTCTGGAGACTCTAAGGAATGTTAAACTGATCACCAAACACAATTGTGGTAATATCTTGATGTCATCTTAATACCTTCTAAACCTCCATGGTATAGTGCATTGTTCCTTGGAATTGGTTATATTAATTTAAATATATCTGTCCTTTTTGATAATGACTAGTACTCTTTATAACTTTCCAATCTTCATCCCATAAGTGTATGTTCGCACGAAATGCGGATATATGTTGTTTTTTATCACACAGATAATTGAGGTAATATAAATTCCCTTGAGTACAGGTTTTAACGATATACTTCAAGCTAGTACCACTGATTCTTTCTAGCCCAAATAATAAACAAGGAATTCAGAACACTAATAATTTAATACGATTTGTACAAATTAATTTATTTCCAAACGTGTAGATTTTATTGGTATAATAATTAACATGACATAACCCTCAAAAGAAACTAACCTGATACGAATTTCATTACCTGTATTACTCAATTGGTATTGTATGTGTGGAGTATAGACTTTTTTGAGGATCCTGATACACTGCAATTTCCGGAACTTGGATGAGGCTGTTAGTTTATGGTTAACTGCCGCAGGTTATTTCAGGGGAACAAAAATAACTATTTCTTACACAATCAGACATGCTCATGGGAGGTTTAGAGTATTAATAATTTATTGTGAATTTAACGATTCTTTAGAGTTAGAACTGCAAGAATTAAATAGCTTAAACCAACATGGTTCTATCAATTTGATGATGGTTATGTTTAGAACTGCAAGAATTAAATAGCTCTAACCAACATGGTTCTTCAATTGATGATGGTAACATAAATATGAAATGTAATTGTATATTTTTGCTTCAGAGTTTGTAAGTATCCAATGTATCTTTCAACAAATGATGATGTCATAAGCCATTTCCTGGTAGAAAAATTGGATCTTTCTTGCTAAAATGAATTGTGTTGATCTAGCTAATGAAAAAGTAAAAATCTTATGTCATACAATTTCCTTGCTGAACCTAAAGTTAAGAATTTCTTTGCATCTGATAAGGACCCTGAAACACTTGTTTACAGGGTTATTCTTCTGTCCATATTTCTCAACATCTTTCCCTGGGGGAAAAAAATCTTTCTCAACCTCCAGTTTGAGAATTTTGCCAATTAAAAAGCTGTTCATATATTTTCTTGGTCATTAGTGAGTGAAGTTCAACAAGTGTGTCAGGTTCTGACAGGGACCCTGAAACACTTGTTTACAGGGTTATTCCCCTGTCCATCTTTCTCAACATCTTTCCTTGGGGGAAAAAAAGTCTTTCTCAACATCCAGTTTGAGAATTTTGCCAATTAATGCTCTTAAGATTCAATAAAAAGCAAAAGCTGTTCATACGATTTCTTGTCTCCGTCATTAGTGAGTGAAGTTCAACAAGTTGTTTTTTGGTTTTTCCAGGTTTCGGATTTTAAGTGGTGTGTCAGGTTTCGGATTAGTGTTATAAGTGATATAGTAATTTAGAAGCTTAAAGAACTTCAATTGCAGCATGAATTTGTGGTCAAAGTAGGGGATGCTGCCTCCCTATGGGCAAAATAAATATTAAAGTCTAAGTAGCTTGAACAGGAAAAACACGATATAATATGACATGAAATATGACTCTTTTTTTTCAAACAGCAAAACACAAAAGGTTGGTGAAATGTTCTACTAAAAATATATATTTTGTATTTATAATACTGGGATAAATTTATTGCTATAATTATTACACCACGATATTAATTTCAATAATCTAGTCTCAAAACCATGTACTGCATTTTGCTTTTGTGAATTTAAAATCTTGTATTAATCTTGTATTGGTTTGAATTTAAAATCTTGTATTGGTTTGTCAGTAATGTGTTAGTTTAATTGATTGCATGATCAGAAAAATAAAAGTTGGGTTTTGTGAAGTAGTAATTGAAATCCATCTTAAAATTTTTTAAATTGTGAATTAACCTCTACAGTTTACAGAGGGTTGCCAAAATTAAAGAAATATAGTAAAACTTTTTTGAAGTGTTAAGATGTTTTCAAGAGTTTTAGTGTCTGGAATGTGTGCAACATGCTAAAAAACTCTTCATGATTCATATGTTAGAAGAGTGTTCCTCTGTGATCTAGTCTCAAGATGTTTCCTTATATATTTGATTATCAGGTTCTTATGGCTGATTGCAGTGGTCCAGGCTCCAGAGATGTTATTTCCTTATATCTCATGATGTGGTTTGCTTTGTAGCACACAATTGAGTTCTGTGTAGTTGTATCCTATCATTTTTGTTTTTGGCTTCTATTTCCTATACTAAAAGGCTTGTATCTTGGAAATAAGAAAAATAAATGGAGTTTAATAATTGATCTTATTTGAGAAATAAAAACCATATAGAAAGAAGGGCCCTAGTTTCTTCACACTATTAGATGTATGCTATTCCTATAATATTAGTTATATTTTATATTAGTTATATTTTCAGTCACTGTCTTGACCTTTAGGTTTGCTACTTCTTAATTCACCTTTTGGTAATCACGAGCGATGCACAACTCGATTATAGGCTGAAGAAAATGCATAGACTTGGCAGAAACAATGGCCGCATTGTCTAAAAATGACTGTGTGGCTTTGGCTCTATGTGCTTCCCTACGGAGCCTGCTCGAAAGTGTGCTGCGAGGTCTGCATTAATAGGAGAATAGACTAGTCGTCCAATAAGAAGTATGACAATGGGCCGATATGTTTTCCCTTAATGAACCTTTAGCTTCGTCGCAGCTTCCTTGAAGGAGACTTCCCAATAGACTTGCTTTTTTTGTGTTACCCCACATATAATTCTGAGACTTTATCTATGGGGCATTGACTTAAAAGGAAGACTTGTGGTGTGCAATGTTTATTGGAAGTCGCTTTGAAGTTTCCAGCGACGACCAAAGTAATCCTATCTGGATGTTCACCGCATTATGTCATATGGGTTTGAGATGTCATGGTTTTGGGCTTGCTGTGACAACTATCAGGAAAACCGCTGCAACCTAGACATTGACAACATTACGGAATACTGTTACGGTACGTTTTATTTCCATGGACTCCATTTCAAGTTGGGTTTGAATGGTTATTATGATTGTAAATCAGTTCTGGTTCAAAACTGAATTGTGACCGAGTCTAATTAGGACTCATTCAACCAATAAAAAATTGCGTTTTGGGTGATCTTTTTTATCCCCTATAGTCATTATATGTCTTTCTTAGTTTTATATTTACTTGCAAAGAGAAAAAATAGTAATGAAAAGTTTGAACATTGACATTTTAGGTTTGGATTCAAAGCCAGTCTTGCCTATGCATGAGTAATATTTCAATTTTATTTTTGTGTTTTCAAAAGAGAAAAAGGGGAAAAAAAAATATTTGATATTTGTCCCTTTTCATTTTTATTTTAGTGTTTTCATTTTGTATATTAAAAACTAATATTTCTCTTTATATCTTGGAATAGGAACGAAACGTTCTCCGTGAGGATAAAATCCGCTGGTATAAAAAAAAAAAAAAAAAAAAAAAAAAAAAAAAAAAACTATATATCAATCGAAATTTACTAATTTTTTTTTCTCATTAAATGATTAAAATAATGTTGTTTTTAGAAAAATGTATTCTTTTTTAATTTGGATCCACAAACCAAATTCAGGTAAATCATTCTTTCCTATTTATACTAATATAAATTTATAATCTGCAGAGTTCCATCACTTACTTTCCATTTATCGTATCCTCCTCTTAATTTCATTGTGACAACTTCCTCCTCCTTTTCTTTTCTTTTCTTTTCTTTTTTATTTTTTATTCTTTATTTTATCTGCGCAGATCTGCTTCATATCGTACGCTACCTGGGTAGGAACGATAATTATGGTTATGTTGGTAAGAAACATTTTACATGTGTTTTTACATTCAAAGGTTTCCCATAGCAAGAATAGTGAGAAAGAAAGATAATACTGAGAGAATTTTATATGAATCTCTCTCCAATTTTAATTGCATAAAGTTCAATTTGCACTCTCAAATTACTTATAAATAAATTATTTTTTTATATAATTATTGTCCCAAATTTACAACAAATAACTACAAAGACCAAATTTGTAGCTAAAAAGAATGAAATAATAATTTTTATTATTTACTTTTAATAATTTTTATTATTTACTTTTAATAAAATAATAGTTTCTACCTTTTCAAAATTATTATTTTACTTTTTTTTTGGTTAAAAATTGACCTTTTTGCTTTTTTGATGTAAAATTAGGATAATGATTGCATAAAAATTAATTTTTGGATAAATCATATATAGCACCTAAATTTGGCTAAATCATTAAAAAAAAACCACAAACTTTGTGGATAGTTGTAACGGTACCTTAAATCCAACTTTCTTCTGTTAGTACCTTGAACTTCAATTTTAGTTACAATAGTACTTTAATTTCATTTATTTTCGTTGGACCTATGGTCATGTTAATCAAAAATTTACGACACCGTAACTAATATTGCTATGAATTTTTTTTAAATTCATAAAAAGTCAAGTAAAATAATAAATTTTAGTTAGGTATGAGTATAGAGTATTAGTTTCGGTTTTTTTTTTTTTGCTATTTTTTAAGTATAAAATTTTAGTTAGGATTTATTGAAATTATACTTAAGTTAGATCTCTCATAAAAATAGGTTTTATTCATTATGACATAATTTTATTTTTAGAGAATCATTACCTGTTAATATTATATGAATAAATAAAAAGTATTTTATTTTTTATTTTAATATTGGGTATAATTTGAAACTAATATTTTTTTCATTAAATTATTTGAAACTAATATTTAATATTATATGAATAAATAAAAAGTATTTTATTTTTTATTTTAATATTGGGTATAATTTGAAACTAATATTTTTTTCATTAAATTATGCCCAATTTAATGAATAAAATATTATTTTTTATTTTAATATTGGGTACAATTTGAAACTAGAGTATTATTGTAAATAAAGTTAATATTCAGGATACTAGGAGAATAAAGTTAAATATAGGGTACAATTAAAACTGTCCGCATAGCCTGAGGTTTTTTTTTTAATGATTTAGCCCCAAATTTAAAAGGGAAATTGAACCTTATTAATATTATTATGGAAATTATGGTACAGTAGTTTACAAAAATGAAATAATCAAAATAAAATAAAATCACACCCTATAAGAATCTCTATAGTTAAAATAAGCTAAATTGAGACAAACTAATTCAAATGTACACATTTGAATTATATCCATAGCACCTCCCTGAAGGTGGTGGCCTTCGTAATAATTAGAACTTGTTTTGAATATATAGGGTAATGTAATCAAATTCATTTTCATTATAATCATATTTGCATTAATTGACATGTACAATCAAAAAATTAAATCTTTTTGTACTCTTTTTGTGTTTATGCAGGATCAATAGCGATATTTAGTAATGCGCATAGTAAGTTCCATTTCTGAAAGAGCTTTCATTAATAAGAAGTGTTGATTGGTCACCAATGATGGAACTAGGAGTGGCCGCTTCCCTAATTTTAATTTTTTTTGTTAAATTTACCTTATAAAATATAAAAAATTTTACTTTTTACCTATAAAACAATGATTTTTTTCGATGTTGCTCTCTCTAAATGTTGAAAAATTTTTTTTGCCTCTTCTAATTATTTTTTCTGGTTCCGCCGCTGTAGGTCACCTGTTAGTTGTTTAACTTGGGCTTTCTTTTATTTTGGCAGGGTTGATATTAATGGCAGGGAGAGATCGTGATTCATGACCTGACAAATCTATATACTAACCGAAATTCCCAACTGGTAAGGATGACTTCGCCACCATACTCTATGCAAGGGTTTAATTGTGGCTTATATTTGGGGATAGAAAAACAAGAATATTCAAAAACTTTGGGAGATAATTTACCTAATTTAATTTTATCCTATTTATCTATTTTGGTTTCAAAAAAAGAAAAATTAATTCCTAGAATAAATATAAAATAAACGGTGTTAATCCCTTATAATTCAAAAGGAAACCAAAAAAGAAAAAAGAACACTTATATTATTTACATTTCTTTGCTAATTGGTTTTCATTTATTGTTATTCAATTGGCAGGCAGTCAATAAAATATGGCCGAGAATATTATTCTTAGTAAAGAATACTTATATATCCACAACTTTTTTTTTTTTTTTTTACCGACCTGCTGTTTGCTATTGATGAATAATCTAACAATACATGTACCCAAGCCTTAACCTCATTATTCAAATTCTTAGGTTTCCAACACATAAAAAAACAATGATTTTTTAAACAATGATTTTTTTCGATGTTGCTCTCTCTAAATGTTGAAAAAATTTTTTTGCCTCTTCTAATTATTTTTTCTGGTTCCGCCGCTGTAGGTCACCTGTTAGTTGTTTAACTTGGGCTTTCTTTTATTTTGGCAGGCTTGATTGATGAACTGTCTACTAGCCAAAATCCCAATGGTAAGGATGCTTACACTCTATTGCAAGTTTAATTGTGCTATACTTGCATAGAAAACAAGAATAATCAAACTTTGAGATTATTCCTATTTTAATTAATTAATTAATTTATTTTGTTTCAAAGAATAATTTAGAATAATGTAATTTAGAATAATTCTAAAGAACAAAAAGGAAATGATATATTATTACATTTTCTTTTGCTAATTGTTTTTCATTTTTGTTTTGTCAATGCAGGCAGGTCAATAAGATATGCCGGATATTATGTCTTGGGTGAATATTTAAATCACACCTTTTTTTTTTTTTTTTTTTTTTTTGATTCTATGATGGGATAATCTTAAGCATTTTCATGTCAAAGGCTTCTCATTATTCAAATCAATATAAATCCAAACACATAAAATCCTTAAAGAAAGATAAGAAAGAAAAAAATCCTTAAAAAAAATGTAATTTAATTCTAATAGCTCAACGGTAATCTCATAATCTCAGAGTTTTCTAACAAATAGCTCAATGTAGCTCATAAACGCAAGAACATCTAATCTAAGCATAGATATGAAGATAAATGGATTAAACTTACTTGGTGAGTGAGAGACTCAAATGCAAGAGAAGCCTATGAACAAGCTTGGAAGACTGAGAAAAGTATTCAAAGGTTTGCCAAAATCCATTATCTAATTCTTTTTCATGCGTTTCCATGAAATCAAAAGCTAAATAATAAAGAAAATAAGTTCACATGATTAAGAAGACTTAAATTCAAGATATTTTACTGTTCATATTAGTGAGAAGATTAACCAGACCACTCTTGATTAGCTAGATCTAAATATATTGAAATTGGAAAGTTTAAAAAGTGAAATGCGAATAGTTCCAAGTTCAACGGATTAAATAATGACAAGAATAAAGCACAAACATTTTTAAGCCAATGTGTCAAGTTTTATATGGCTACATATTTTACATCTTTTAACTTTTTTTGTTCTTTTCCTTCTTTCAGGTTTGCTTCCTTATTTAATTTCTATCTTTGGTAAGGGAATTCCTTTCCTTATTTTTTCCTTATTTAAGCCAAGCTTCACTGTTTTTTAACTGCTCAATAGTTTGCTAACAATTGTTCTGTCAGATTTTTTTCCAGTAGTTATATGTGTGGCCAACGAGTAACCTTATGTGGGATAATAAGGTCTCATCTCTTTGAATTATAAGGCCAGAGAACATTTATCAAAATATAGATAATAAGAGGTCTTTCAAGTTATTGATGAATCCAAATTAGAAACCAGAATATTAAAAACGATAACAAACGTTTCAAGAAGCTGGAGAAGGAGGTTTTGCTCGTAACAACGGAAAACTCGGAGTGGTAATTTGCTGACAATTTGAACATGTCCAAAGGTACGTCGAGACTCATCATAAGTGCTACAATTGGAGAATTACGGTCACAATTAATGTTGTTCGTCTGTTGGTTTTATGGCGAGAAATTCTAAACGTGCTCTCGTATATGATTCATGTCTAATGGATCTCTCGAGAAGTATATATTTCGGAAGAACGTAGCAATTGATAACCATATGAGAAAATGCAACTGAGATTTCCTCTAAGGAAGGCTCGCGGGGATTAGACTATCATCACCGAGGCTGTCATATGAAAATTATACTTTTGATACAAGCCACATAACATTAAATTCTTGGGATGAAAATTTCTGCAAAATGCTCAGATTCGGACTGCAAAATTATATTCGACCGATGAGAGAATTGTGTGTCTCACAGCAGCGAGAGAACAATGGTTACATTG